GCAGGATCGCACGGCAAGGGAAACCCGACGCCCGAGCTGCAGTCTCTGCAGACCGCACACACCGACGCCCGAGGCTGCAGTCTCCGCAGACCGCACACCCGACGCCCGAGGCTGCAGTCTCCGCAGACCGCACACACCGACGCGAGCTTAACGGAATGCGCGTCTCTGAAAGGCAGACTGGACTGTTCATTTAGCCCGTGACATTTTCAGATTGATGGTTTAAACGGACGTAACAGTGGAATCACTGTTGTTCGTTCGAGTAACCATGAATTTTTTTTCAGAAGATTTGCGCTATTTTTGTACATATGAAACATACGCCGCGTAATCTTTAAAGGGTATGCATTTGTTTTAAAGCGCTTTTAAAAACATTATTTCTCTATGCATGGATAGCATCGCGGGCCCGCCGCCCGCCGCTCAGTGTTAGTTGCAGCGGCCAATGTTCCGCGGTTAGACGCAGACTGCAACGCCCGATATCGGCATTCCTGTACCTTAAGATTGGGAGGACGCATGTCGAAGCCTACTACACACGATTTTTCCACTAGTCGTTTCTAAAGAAGGATTGACATCCTAAGGTTAACAGGAGCTGGTCATGCCATTATAGTCTTTTACCCCGTTTCACTCGATCGCATTGAACAGGAAGACACTTTACCATTCCCGGACGGGGAGCAACTTCAATTTGGGGGGCTCGGCCTTTCGGGGCGGGCCTCCCTCAGACCAGCATATCACCAACCCTTCAAGGCCGTTGATGCAAGCCGTCTTCAAGCCCTTCGGTTCTCGAGAGGAACCAGGGAGGGGGGGGGGGGCAGGACTACCAACGCCCCTGTGCTCCTTGTTGCCAAGGCGTCCCTGTTTCAAACTGTGTCACATCTGCAAATAGACAAGCATTGCTCGTTTGCAACTACAGCATGCCGCAGCAGAATGTGGATGGGATTTGTTAAGGCTTTCGCCTAGGCCGGGCAAAGTGCTGACGCCAGTTCGCCAATAAATGCCTGCACAAATGCCTCCAGCCAATACCGGTAACACATTTCTATTTTCAATGCGGGCGTCAGAGAGGCGAGCGAATATACGTATTCGGCATTCTTCAACAGCCAGCAGCGGTCGTGAAGGGTCGCCTGGCTGGCGCCGGACGGGACCGGAGGCACCGCCGAGCCGCCGAGCCGTGGCGCCAGAGAATCTTACCGCTGCCAATACCGGCCGGACGGCGCGGAGATTCCCTGTCTGAACACGGCCCTCCGGCGGTGGGGTGGCCGCACACCCCACGCGCGAACCGCCCGCCCTCCGCCGCCGCTATATAACCGGCGTGCCAGCGGCGAGAAAGGTACAGACGGCCCACCGGCCCGAGCAACGGCGCACAGCGGCTAGAGCAGCGCAGCACCACCGACCGCAAACGTCGGCCAACATGATCAAGTTCGCAGTTCTGCTGGTTTCTCGGGGCGCAGCTCTGCTTGGCTCAACAGTACCCGAGGTACTTCCAAGTTCCCCGTTTGGAAAAGGTGAGTGCTGCAGCGTTCGGATGACTTCGTCAGCTTCTATTTGCATACGGAAGTTACAAATCGGGGCGCCGCTAAAGCCACTCGCCAACAGTTCAAGACATCTCAGCAATTTGTCGTCTGCTTAGCAATCATGTAACTATAGCAGAATAGTACCACCAAGGTATGATCTGCTATCGGCAGTTTGATATTCTTCGCTTTGCTGTTCTGCAATGTTTCTATGCGTGATGGTTCAGCTTTTGTGACGGACTCCTACCGAGATACAGTAACGCTTCAATGTCCTGGCAGTTTGGGACGCAGGGCGTCGCAGTGCCATCGTTTTGCATCACGGTGCCGAGGTGGGGGGTGGCGAGGCGACCAGTGGCATGGTCTGACTGTGGCACTGGTCTGCTTGCAGGTGATGAGTGCGAGGACCACCAGATCGGCAAGAGATTCCCCGTGGGTGCTGTGTGGACCAGCCCTAACTCGGGCTGCAAGCAGAGCCACTGCATCAAGGAGAACGGTACTCTTTACATCGACCGCTTCCAGTAAGCACCCTCAAGCACATCGGCTACGACGAGGCAGTCCATCTCAATAGTGTTTGTTCGAGCTGTGGTAACAAGCGTTAGAAGGCTTGCAGAGCATGTCTGGCATATAGATATCAGTTCATGTTTTAACATGATCCAAGGGTAAAATTTGGCCCTGGGAATGGTTCAGTGTTCTGAAGACCGATTTTTTGGTCTTTGAGAAGTGGATACCACTATGGGAAATAACAGATGATTTTCTTCTTTTTGCAGGTGCCCGTCGGTCAGGAAGCGGGTGGATTACAAGAAGCTGAAGGCGGACAATCTGTTCTGCAGGCTGGCCTGGGTAGACCGCAGGAAGGCGTTTCCGGACTGCTGTCCCCGCCTTGTGTGTAAACGCTACGTTAAGGGCAAGCTGGTCGCTCTCCCTGAGGACGAGTATCCTTTGCTCTGAATGCAGTCCATTGCTTGCGGAAAACGCATGGTAAACATGAAATGAACGGCTTGTTTGTGATACGAATGTGATATTTATACCTGCCGAAGACAGTTGCAGACTTGTTAAGTTATTATCATCAATTGGTTTCCACGAAACAGTATTTTTGTGGAATAGTAGCACTGGAGCCCGGTGGCGCTTCATTTTTGCGTCGTGTTGGAAACAGCTTCCGTTGTTTATTAACAGCGCATGCTAGCTTACGCAACCACCTGGGATTAAGACAAGGTCTCTTACGGACATCCCTGACAGTGGTTTAAGTATGCATATTTCGAGTGTGTATGTAGCTGTCTGTTAGACGTGACTTGCAATTTACTCCGAGTCCGAAACTTCTTGGAACGTAGTTCTGGGACTCGAAGTCAGTGAATGAGCTCACTGTCGATTCTGCTGCTGCTCACACGAGCTCACTGTCGATTCTGCATGCATAGTTCCCCAGCGTAGCAACGACATGACGTGATGAAAAACTGAAGACCTAGTGGCGGTACGAAATCCTGCTGCAGGAAGCCTACTGTTGAACTTGAAGCAATGTTATCGTATGTTGAGACGCTACAAAATAGCAAAATAAAACAATGTTTCCAGCTATGTGTTTTAAAACAGAAGACGCTCGTCTTATGCGTAAAGAGCTTCAGCAGCGATTGGTGACATTCAAGTCCAGCCTTGTGTATTGGACCATATCCTGATCCCTTGCACAGGTGCAAGGCTTTGTCATTTTTCTCCGTGGCTTAACAAGTTTGTACATTGCAAATCGAAATTCCGAGTTTTTTTTAATTTGTAAATAGAAATTTCATGCCATCTTAGGTGAACCGTAAAAAATCCTTATTTGACTAGACACACTCCCCTTAAGGCCCACACTACCGGTGTGGCTGATCCAGCGTAACATTACGCCTCGGTGCGGGCGTTGAAGCACACCTACATCGAATATTCCTTGCTTGTATTCCTCAACACCTTCGCAATACAAACACTCCAAAATGCGATAGTCCCCTAGGCAACGCTTAAAAAAGACCTTCGCTACATTGTTGTAGCTCAGACGATGCTTTCTCGAGTGCTACACCTCGGTCACTTTTACACATACTCAAAGCGTATATGAAACCTGCAAAACGGCTGTGATCCTATGTGAAATGACGCCGCTGAGCTGTTGCTGAAAACACTCATATAAGGTATGCTTGGAGGAGCACCTACCTGAGGTGTCCACACGCCAAGAGTTAGTCAGTGCCAGTAAAGCACACACAGCCGCAATTTCGTTGGCGTAAGGAAAACGCGTTCTCACTAGCAAAGGTAAAAGCAGCTGTGTTATATTTGCTCACAAATGCGAATAAGATCGTTTGACTGCACCTTAGGGATCAACATTATAATAAGAGACGCAAAATACAATACATATCACAGCACCATGACGAGATCGCATCGGCAGGACGACCTAAAATTGACAATGACAAACCTAACGAACCCGTCAAATTGTCATTAGCAACATCGCGACATTGGCAAGGATAGTGCGACCCCACAAAGTGAGCGTCTCGCACATGCAACCTATAATTGTTGTGCAAAGGCACGTGATGGCGGAAGCATCAACTGCTACGCTCACAACTAGTTTTGAAGTGGATCATCAAGTGGCGCTGAATTTTATCTTCGTCATGGATGCTTGATGGTGCCCTGCAGCCGCGTGGTAGAGAAGAGGAGGGGGTGGGGGTGGAAGGGCACTGTGCCCTTGCGGGGGTAACAAATAATTTTAAGCTCATCCAGAATAAATCGATGCTCTTTAGCCACATACGATAAATAGGATCGCTTCTTAAGAATGAAACAAACAACGTTGGTGAAATGAATATGACGTGATAAACGGCATATGACTTAGCTGGCCTTTCGAGTGTTTTTCTGCCACCTGAATGCAAACACCTCTGCATTATCATTTCCGATAGCGGCGCGCGCTGAAGAGTTTGTACCCTGCACGCTCGACGTGCAAGGCTGCGTCGGGGAGGAGATTTAATAAACATATTTTGTATCGCCTCTTTCATCTGTTGTATCGCGTTTCACGAACGCGAAGTACGGCATCTTCCGCCTTTTCATAGAGCGCCAGCGAATGCAGCAGCCAAAATGGTGCTCAAAGATCATGATACAAACGAGATTCAACCGGGGCTTGTACATTTGTGCCAAAGGTGCTGATAACTCAACCATTCCGCCTTTTAAATCTCCTCAAACTTGATACTGAAACGTTTTCTGTTGATCTGTCGAATCGCGTGAAATTCGTAAAACAAAGGTAGGAGTGCCATTGGCTCCGGAAGTGTATTTTTGGCGCTTGAGTGGACTTTTGGTACTGTAAGAGGAAAAATGAGGTTTGGCAAAATTCCACTTCGATTTGGTACCGGTTTTGGCGCCGCACAAGGACTAAACCCTGGTAATCTGCATAACGTTTGAACCACTGTTTTCACTGACAGCAACCCTCGTCAAAGTGTCTTGCTCAAAAGGGCCACTTAAATGCCCACCTCTTTTCTTCGGCGCTTTCGTCTAATTCAGGGGATGAACAGGACATTCTGCGCCACTGGCCCTGGATTTTGGTGCGGTAGTCTCCCGAATGCATTTGTGCCAACATTACAATCAAATGCCCTTTTTGGCTCTGGATAAAAACTTCGTTGTCAGCAGATGTTCGAAGGAACTCGTACTCCGGAATATTTCGATGCACAAATAGGCTTCAGTGTTCTTGTTGCACAACATCAGACATTTTTGAATTCGAAGTCTTAGTTAAAGACTGTCAAGAATTACACAACGCTGGATTAGCTCTCACAATTTTTTCAGTTTTAGGTTTCGAATGAAAACAGAACGCCCCGACAGTCACGCACCTTTCGACAAGTGAAAGAAGAGATCGTGAGCACATTAGAGCGTGACGGCTGGATTTGCTGTATGGTGAGAGTTGGCTGGAAATTGCTTTGGCTATTCTTGCCAAAGAAACGCATTCTGTTTACGCGCTATGACAGCGCGTTCCTATCTTTCTCATACGGCGCCATTCAGGTGAGCCGAGGCACCATTTGTCTACATATCGTGCTGATTGTCCAGTGACTGCTCTCTGGAAGCTACGTTTGTCGCCACATGTGGAAAACATCCTAATGTTGTTCAAATCTTAATGGAAAAATGTGAGTTACGGAATCAGCTGCATATCCGATGGCGCACAGACAACACAGGATTTTCAGAATGAAAAAGAATAATGGCGTAGTGTTAGTACTGGTCTGCTGAGCTCATTAATTCTCAAAATGTGTCAGGAGCGTGTAAAATCTCTTTCGAGTGGTGTGATATGTTGAGTACTATCAGGAAGACGGTAATGTACTTCAGGTCTTGTTGCCTTTCGAGAGCCCTAGGGGGCATCATGCTGACTTTTCACGTTCAGCACTTTTAAAGAGACTTAACGGGCTTCGTTGATTTTCAACTGTAATTGTTGTTCATGTTTGTTTGGCATCTTAAGTTTGGGGGGGGGGAATTTTGCATATTTTCAGCCAATTCTGTTGTAAGAACTGTTTTTTCCGCTTTGTTTGTGTCCATGAGACCGGCCACATATCTATAAGAGCCTGAGCACTGCTTTAGGGTGCCAGCAATGTTAAAGAGGCCCCATTCACCGTGACGTCACCCGTGGTATGTCAGGTCGTGGCCAGACTCCTATGCAATTGATTCCATAACTCAGATGAAATAACAATTCACGGCAAAGGGCGGATGTCCTAAGCATTTCTCCATGAGTTTTCTTCAAGTATCTTTCGCCGAGAGTGGTTGACCTCCTCCCCTCGCTGGGCCCCTCGCTGGCGCCAGACAGGACGGGGAGCACCGCCGGACCGCGCGAGCCGTGGCGCCATATAGGACCGGCCGGGCGGCGCGGGGATTCCCTGTCTGAACACCGCCCCCGGCGGTGGAGTGGGTGCACACCCCAGGCGCGCCCGCCCACCCTCCGCCGTCGCTATATAACTGGCGTGCCAGCGGTGAGAGAGGTACAGACGGCCCGAGCAACGGCGCACAGCGGCTAGAGCAGCGCAGCACCACCGACCGCAACGTCGGCCAACATGATCAAGTTCGCAGTTCTGCTGGTTCTCGGGGCGCAACTCTGCTTGGCTCAACAGTACCCGAGGTACTTCAAGTTCCCCGTTGGAAAAGGTGAGTGCTGCAGCGTTCGGATGACTCCGTCAGCTGCTATTTGCATAAGGAAGTTACAAATCGGGCGCCGCTAAAGCACTCGCCATCAGTTCAAGACATCTCAGCAATTTGTCGTCTGCTTAGCAATCATGTAACTATAGCAGAATAGTATCACCAAGGTATGATCTGCTATCGACAGTTTAAAATTCTTCGCTTTGCTGTTCTGCAATGTTTCTTTGCGTGATGGTTCGCTTTTGTAATCTCAGCAATTCGTCGCCTGCTTCGTAATCACGTACAGCCACTCCACCGAGACACAGCCACGCATTAATGCCTGGCAGTTTGGGACGCAGGGCATGACAGGGCCACCGCTATCGGCCGCACGAGACTTTGGCTATAAATCACGGGACTCCACAAGAGACACGAGATTCCATACGGTCGGCCGCTGTTACGCAGCGATCTTGTGCCACGATATGTTGGTTTACATCACGTGTCGAGGTGGGGGGTGGCGTTGCGACCGGTGACATGGTCTGACTGTGGCACTGGTCTGCTTGCAGGTGATGAGTGCGAGGACCACCAGATCGGCAAGAGATTCCCCGTGGGTGCTGTGTGGAGCAGCCGTAACTCGGGCTGCAAGCAGAGCCACTGCATCAAGGAGAACGGTACTCTCTACATCGACCGGTTCCAGTAAGCGCCCTCAAGCACATCGGCTACGACGAGACAGTCCATCTCAATAGTGTTTGTTCAAGCTGTATAACAAGTGGAAGAAGGCTTGCAGAGCATGCCTTGTGTTTAGGTATCAGTTTACATTTCAAGCATACTCCAGAAGCGAAATCGGCCCTGGGAGTGGCTTAATGCTCTGAGCGACGAGGATTTTGGTCTTTGAGAGGCAACTGTGGGAAATAA